TTTAATTTTTTAAATTTTTGTAGGAGTTACTAACCTTGACCTTACGCAAAATAAAATAAAACTACGTGACGGTGTATTCTTTCAATTTGGTTGACCAGACCAAAAATTCTTCTAAAGAGTGGGACCCACTTGGGAAATTAGCGCCCATAGACCCACAATCCAATCGAGTGATGGCTTTGATGGGAGGATGAGCACAACCACAACCATCTTGACTTATAGTCGTCTGGTCTGGTATAAGTTGATTTTTTTTATTATTATTAAAATAATTATAAAAAAATAAAATATATTCTTTAATTTAATAAAATAAAATATTATATTCAAATCATAATTATTTTATTTTATATTTTATAAAAATTAAAAAAATTTATCCCAAACAAAAATTTTAATCCCAAATTAAAATAACTAAAAAAATTAAAAAAACCAAAATATTCAATCCAAACGAAATTTTTTTACTCTAGATTAAAATAACCAAAAGTCAAAAAGTTAACCCACTCCCCAAACAAAACCATTGTGAAGAGGTGATAGTTTTCTTTGTTTATTTTAGGCTTTTGTAAGGGTTTGTAAAATAAAGTAATACAATTTTATATTTCCTCTCTTTCCTCCTAATTGAATGAAAAAAAAAAAAGAAAAAAAAAAAAGAAAGAGATACAATATTTACATCTTATACTTATAAATCCATTCATAATAATATGATAAAATAGTGAGATTTTACATTATTAAATGTGTGATAAATTAAAAATTAATATTTATTATGATATATTATTATGGGTCAAATTAAAAAAAAATGAAAATGTCAATCATTTTTCAAAAAAAGATAGAGAAAAAATATTTCACTCTCTTGGATTACTTTATTGCTTTTATCTCTTCTACCTTCCCATATTTTTTTAATTTATTTTTTCACCCTACATACTGAAAACCAACCTTCAGTCAAAGTTGTAGAAGGCTCAAATATCTAAGTAAGATCTCTCTCTCTCTCTCTCTCTCTCTCTCTCTCTCGTTTTTTTCTTTTATTTTATTTTCGTTAGACAACGTTATTCCAACAAAGTTTATGTTAAAAACGCTGGGCGAAAAAAAAAAAATTCTGTTAAAATCGCTATTTGTAATAGCGTTTATTCATGTTAAAATCGCTATTCGTAATAGCCTATTTTCGTCTGTCTTCAAGTTTTTGATTTATTGCTAAAATGCCTGGAACTGTTCTTGTCATATCCGCTTTCTGTTGCTAGCATCATGTCTGGGTTATTACTTTCTTGTTCTTCACATACTTACTTAGTGCCTGTGCACTTGGCTTTATTCTTGAACTTTGTTGTCTTCTTGACTATTTTTCTCTTTTTTCATTCAATCCTCTAGCTTTTTCTCTTTCTAGCTCTTTTGGTCAAAAAGGTCAAGTTGATTTTCTGGCCGGCCACCACAAAAAGGTGTCCTCTCAGGTCTCCTCTTCACAACCCTGTGGTTCGAATTTGGAAATTCTAAAACAGGAGAGAGAACAAGCCAATTTTAGGAGGGGTTCAAAAGGGTCAAAAGGAAATAGTGGCCGGCCATATGATATTAGGATCCTCCCATGTGTGTACAACACAAATATGTGGTTTGGGGTTGAAGAAAGTGGCCCCAAGGTGTTCAACATTAGCTCGGAAGTGAGAAAAACGGGTGTCGGAGGGCGAAAATGGAATATAATTGGTTGCCAAGATAATTGCTGGCCTCCCACCCTCTAGTGACCTTCCTGGTGGTAAAACAAAGGTACCTGCCAAAAATGAACGAAACCGATGCAAAACGAATGCCCGGGGGCCAAAACACGCAGTTCGGGGTCCCGAAAATAGGCTGCTAAGCACTGAAAGTGGCGTTCGGCCACGAAGTGGGTTTCTCAGACCCCAGTGTCCCTCAAAAGGGAGCAAACAAGAAGTATGCCAAAAATCAGAGCAAACAGAGATGGTTAGGCGGTCCCGAACCGAGGCACACGGCCAACGGTCCCGAAAAACCGGAAACCGGACTCCGAAATGGGCAAAATGGCCTACGGCCACAAAATGTAGCCCACGGCCACTGAGAGATGGTCTACGGGACCTCTCCCTCCCTTCAGGAAAAGAAACAAAGAAAACCGAGTCTGGTTCGCAAACCGAGACAAGGCACAGAAGAGGGTTCGGAAGTCCGGAGACGGGGCTCACGGCCATGACTCTGAAACTTCTGAACGAGCACATTATGCAACATCACCAAGGGCTCAATCGGTGATGTCTGAGTCTTAAGGTCGGTCAAATATGGGGTGTCTACAAATACAAACCAATATGAAAGTTTGGATCATATTTACCATCATAGATCTGAAACCTCGGCATGTTAAATCTCTTTGGAGCCTCAAACGTGTCTAACTCCATCGAGAATGGCGTCCTCGGCTTGACAGTGGATGTGATCTTGGCATTCAGTCGCTTTCTCTAGAGGTAGTCTCTTCAATCCTCCTTCGTCCTACCAAAGGCTCAGTTATCAATAAATTTCAACTTCTTTGGCGTGCTGCTCCCGGTGTAATTGTGCATCCGCTTGGACTTCCCTTCTTCCACTGTATCAAAACAGAGGCCCTTTGTAGACACCCCATTTTTGAGCTCTCCGAAAGAGAGCACGAAGAAAGTTGAGCTATACTCTTTCTTAGATACGATGAGATTTTTTAACATAGGTTCCCTTGGTTCATGATGTCTTCTACCACTCACCTCGTATTGACTCTTTTCGCCTGTCATCCCTTGACGGCCGATGTAAGTACTCCTGTCCCTTGCCATGCTGCGGGACTACTAGGATTGTTTTCTGTCCCATTTTCTGGGCATCAGTCTTGGCTGCTGGTATCGGTGTATCTTGCAACGGGAATAGTGGTTGCATCACGTTGTTTTGTATCATAAAGTTGACCACTGACTGTAGGTCTGCCAACTTGTTTGCCATTCCTTTCATCTCCCCATCCCTCCTCAAGTACCTATCCTTCCATACCTGGAGGTCGCTCTCATTGTAATACTCATCTCGACTTCCCTTCTTCGGGACGTTACGCTCTTTGTCGGCGTCGTTTTCCCCGAGATTCGGTTCCTAGACTTCTTCATTACGATTTTCTTCCTTGACATTAGGATTCACATGCTCTTCATTCTCACTGTAGATGTTGTCCCCAATCTTTTTTTCCTTTCCTTTGTTAGCCATCTATTCTCCTTAAGTTCCCACAGACGGTGCCAAATTGTGGGTGTTGATTTTTGACCACATAACTAAAAAGGAAACTCAGCTGGAGAGCACCAGCAGAATAGATTAAGCCCAACAACCTGTAATAAGAAGATGAGAATACCGCAGTGGTTCGCCACTCGGAGGCACTCCAATGATCAAGTCAGTAATCTCTCAAAGATATCAAATCAGTGTATAACACACAAGTCACTATTCAAAGTATATCACACATACTTGAAACTCACGGGAGTGCCTCTCTTTTATAGCCATTAGTGCCCAAATCCCCTAGAAGCCTCACTTCATAGGACTCAGGCACATAATGCTTATCTTGGACTCTCAGCTAGATAGGGATAAACTCCCTAAGAGTTTTATCCTTATCCAAACGAGAACCCTCCTTCGTTTAGGATTTTGGTCTCTTATCTGCTTATCTCGGATTTCGGTATCTCCGCAGATAACTTCGACCTAGCCGAAACCATCTCTGCAAGCATGATCAAATCACGTGGCACCTCGGCTGATACTTCGGTATTACCTTAGCCACGTGCTATCATTCATAAAATACTTCCCCACAATTCACATTGTCAATGTGATTATTATTATTAAGGGTATTTTAGTAATTATGCTACCTATAAAACTTATTAGAACACAAGAAAATAATTTGGATAAAGTAGAACATAAGTATGTAAAGAGAGATTTATAAATAAATGCCCCTTTAATAAAATCAATGTATTTATTGTCAGAAAACATTATGGTACGCACTCCTTATATACTTTATAACTAAAAAAAAAAATGATATAATTTTATACTTTTTTTAGTCATAATTTAAATAAAAAAAATTATAACTAAACATCAAATGAGAGATAACCAAAGATCTCAAAAAACCGTCCGCAGTGTGGGTTGCAGTTTGTGCAGATAGCGTTCACGGATGTGCAAGCGGTTGCAAGCGGTTTGCGGATTGAATTTTTTTAAAAAAATATTATTTTTGGGCCTTTTTTTTCCTGTTTCGTAAATATTTATTTTGGGTCCTTTTCCCCCATTTTCTAAAATGCTCAACATTAATAATTAATGAATTAAAACTTGTAAAATTAAAAATACAACAAAATCAATTCCTAATACAAGCAAATCATTCAAAATTCTAAATTTCTAAATAAAATCATAAACTAACACAAACACGTCTTTCAAAATCCTAAATTAAATCATCAAAATCATTCACTACCCAACAATACAATTAAAGTAAAATCATTTAAAATCCTAAACTTACCTAAAAATAATTATTCGTTAACATTTTCATTCATCCAAAATGTTAGGCAAAAATATCTAAGATAGAATAAATGAAATTAACAGTCCAAGTTAAAAAAAATTAAAAATTAAAAAGTCTAAGTATGGGCAGATTCTTACGAGTGCGGGTAAAACCTACAATAATACCATATTTCAAACTGTGTCGACCCGCATTATCTCTGCGAAACTACTTATTTATATACGGATCGATTCAAATTAGATAAATTGTACACTTCGAATAACCTCACGTCCAGCCTAATAACACTTATACGTACACGTGGCATAAACATAAAAATAAAACCCATTTTACCTTCAATTAGCATAAGTTAAAATGAAATTTTTTTGGTTAAAACAGTCATAAAATAACAAAATAAAATTTTTAATTTAATAAGATATCACATCAAAACTATAATTAATTTATCTTTTTTATAAAAATTAAAAAAATTTATCTCAAATAAAAATTTTAATCTCAAATTAAAATAACTAAAAAAATTTAAAAAATCAAAATATCAACCTGCGTGCCAAACCAAACCCGTAGTCTTTTCACATGGGGTTCCTAAATCCTATTTCTCGAACCTATTTTTATATGGAGAGCTCATAGAACATCTGTCAAGAACACCAAAACCAAAAATCCAAAAATGTTGAGAATCAAACCCAACCACCTCCCTCCACTTCTTCTCTTCCTCCTCCTCCATTTCCACCTCCACCATCTCCACCTCACACAAGCCCAACTAGCCCCAAACACCACTGGCTACACCTGCACCGCCACCACCAACACCACCTATCCTTGCCAAACCTATGCCTTCTACAGAGCCACCTCTCCTAACTTTCTTGATCTAGCCTCCATAGCTGACCTCTTCTCTCTCAGCCGCCTCATGATCTCCACCCCCAGCAACATCTCCGACCCCACCACCCCTCTCCTCCCCTCCCAACCCCTCTTTATCCCCCTAACTTGCTCCTGCAATACCATCAACACCACCACAAGTTTTTCCTATGCAAATCTCACTTACACAATCAAGAAAGATGACACTTACTACTTAGTCTCCACAAACAATTTTCAAAACCTCACAACCTACCAATCTGTCCAAATTGTCAACCCAAATCTAATCCCAACCAACCTTACAATCGGTGTCACCGTAATTTTCCCGGTGTTTTGCAAGTGTCCAAACACAACCCAATTGCAGAACAGAGCCAATTTTCTCATCAGCTATGTTTTCCAGCCCTCTGACAACCTCACTTCCATTGCTTCAATGTTTGGCTCAACAACACAGTCTATAATTGATGTCAATGGTAATCATCAGATTCAACCCTTTGAAACTATCTTTGTACCTGTTTCAAAACTTCCTAATTTGACACAACCTAGTGGTGTTTTTGTTAATTCAACCTCTGGTGAGAATGGGAAAAAAGGGGTTGTGGTTGGATTGGGAATTGGGTTGGGGGTTTGTGGGGTTTTGCTGGTTTTGGTTTGTGGGTTGTTTGGTTACAGAGAAAATACATGGAAGAAGAGGAAAGGGATGGTGGACAGAGGTGGAGAGGGAGAGAAAATGGTTAAGGGAGGAAAGCCTCTGGATGTGAAATTTGTGGCTGATATGTCAGATTGTTTGGATAAGTATAAAGTGTTTGGGATTGAAGAACTGAGAGAAGCAACTGACGGGTTTGATGAGAGGTGGGTGATTCAAGGGTCTGTGTATAAAGGTTGTATTGATGGAGTCATCTATGCTATCAAGAAGATGAAGTGGAATGCTTGTGAAGAACTCAAGATCTTGCAGAAGGTAAACATCAAAAAAAAAATTCATCTTTGCCCCTTGTTGAGTTGAATTTTCTTGGTGTCTTTTTCAGCTGATTTTTTTTTGATAAATCGATATCTGGCCGTTAAATTGAGTAGTACGGAGGATCACTTTTTTGATTGGTGACCCATAAACATCATGTTAACCTTTGATCGGGTTTTTGTGATGTGAGTCAATTTCACTCTTAGGTTATGATTTTGAACCCTTTTCTCTCTGTACTTTTGACAGTTCAATCTATAGTTTAGGCTTTTAACGGAGGTAGTTGAGACTTTTAGGTAAAAGTTAATTTTTTAATTTTGTTTAAAAAAAAATATATATATATATTTACACACAAGTCTTAATTTATGAATTTATATTCCATTAAGTTCTAATTAAAAATTTTAAAATTTTTAAGTCTCATTTAATAGTCGAAATTACTTTTTAAACAATAATAGTTTATCATTTATGATTATCTATAAAAGAAAATGCTGATTTAACATTTATTTTGATTTTCAAAACTTTAAAATATTAACTTGTGCAAAGTTTTTTTTTCTTTGAAAAAAGTTAAAGAACTGAATTATTTCTTTTGTGCAAAAATGAAAATTTTTGTGTCTATAAAAGGAGTATGATGATGAAACATTAAAAAGCTTTGTTTGTCATAATTTAAAAAAATAAAAAAATTATTATATTATTTAAGTAACATCATCTTATTTAAGTCATATTATTTTTTTATCACTATCATATTTCAAACTCAGCTTACACCTAACATATATTTCTTAAAAAAAAATTAAAAAATATATTTATTTATATCAACAATGATTCATCCCACTAAAAATATCACCACTAATACCACTAATGCATTAAAAAAATAAAAAAAATAAAAAAAAATTACAACTCCAAGACCAAAACATCACATCATTCATGACGGGACCCACTGCCACCTAATTAGTGGGAGCACTAATTAGTGCTCCCAAGCATTTTTCTTGATTGAATGCTAGGTTTAATTTTGGAGGGAAATGAAATTTTCAACTCTCCCTCCAATCAATATGTTTCAAATAATTTGATTGAATCCCACATAAAATTTTGTAGGTTCTTTTTGAAAAATCTTTTCTTATAAATAGGAATAGACTTTCATAAGCTTCTCTAACTTTCAATAAGACTCTTCCTTATGAGAGGAGACTCTTGAAGTAAAAATTTTTAGTCAAAATTTTAAAATATATTTATAATATATATAAATATATAAGAAAAAAAGAAAGAAAAAAAAATTGGTACAAGGTATAATCAAATATATTAATATAATATGATTATTAAAAAATAAAATTGGTCAAACAATAGTTAGGTGTGGTGACATGTCTTATTCTTAAGTACTGGCCAGTTTGTTTACCGGATATAAAGGCCAAATAAATATGGGCCGCATATAACATATAATATGAGATGAGTCTTACATATTTTTTTTGTCTCTCTATCTCTTAATTATTACTCTCCGCTTATTCCATCTTGTATCATATCTCAAACAAACATAAGTATTATTCTTAAGTATTAAGGTCTTAAGTATAATTGACTCCACAGTATATATAATTCATCTCATATCTTATAACATATTATATTACATCCTTATCCTTATCCTTAAGTAATACATATATAATCAAATGGGGCCTAAGGTCTTACCTTATGTATAAAATTGTTTAAAAAAATAGACAAAAATATCTAAAATTTAAATTTACATCACATGTCTTATTCTTAAGTATTAAGGTCTTATCTTAATTATGTGTAGAATTGTTACTTATTAAGAAAATAATAGACAAAAATATCTAAAATTTAAATATACGGTGTAAATTTAAATATTGTATGGTATGGGTGATGCTTAAAAATAAATTTAATCTATACATTTCAAATTTTGAATACTTTTCTAAGCATTTTTGTGTGGACATGTAACGGTAATATCACTGTATTAGACCTCAATGATTAAATGAGGCGGCAATGTTAACCTGCCCCTTTCTTTGTATTTTTCAATTTGAAACACAAGTCTTGGTTTTATTAATTAGTAGCACTACTATTATTGTACTATTATTATTATATTTTTATTATTTAGGGTGGGTTAGGTGAGGGATGGAAGTCCCATTAGCATTATAATACTATAGACCCAAAATATTCTACCAAAAGTTTTACCAAATGTTTCATATGGGTGTGGGACCCACATAATGTGAGACATTTGGTAAAACTTTTGATAGAATTTTTAGAATCTCTAGCATTTTTGTATTACTCCAAAACATGGTGGGTGTTTTGGAGCCAAATTAAAGAGCACCAAAAATGATAAAACAAACTTATTCAGTCTTTTGGAGTTTCTGAAAATAATTCTTTACATGGTTCGAGGCAAATTAAACTTAGTTTTAGGGGTTGTTTGGGATGTCATAAATAAGTGCACTTTTTGTCTTTTTGGACTAAAGAGTTGGGGAAAAAAATATGGATGTTTGGGTTAACTTTTTGACTTTTTATGAAAAAATGTGTATTAAAAAATTGCATAAATAAGTGTGTAGGAGAAGATAGGGTAGGAGCCATACGGAATGGCAGTGGTGGCTGGCTGGGTGAGTAGATGAAAAAAATATTGTCTACTTCTCGGGCTTTGATTGGATGGTATTGTTTGGCCCGTGGGGACCCACCATGGGTCCCGTTTTTCTAATGGGAACCGTTCAATGTGTAGAACTCATCAAGTACTACATACTTGTAAAAAATCACGTTGATTGGATGTCGATAATTATCTGATCGTGTTAGTTTTCTTTGTCAACTGTTAACTATAATACCATCCAATTTTTATATAAAACTGATTTGATCATATAGTTAGCGATATCCGTAGATGTGATTTTTTACAGACATATAGTACTATACGAGTTCTACATATTGAACGGTTTGGATTATCAAAATGAGACCCATGGTGGGCCCCCACAGGCCCAACTTTACCATGCAAATAAGTGAATGTACACGTGTTATTATTTTTGTTTTTCCTTTCATTGCAGGTGGCTGACGTGTCCGTATGTTGATGGGTTGGTCAGGTTAAACTTTTATATTAATTTACCATTTAAATTAATATTTGTATATTATTTTTTAAATATTTTTTTTGGTGAATAGTGATAACTTTTTAACTTTTTTTGTAACTTTTCGACTTTTTGGCTTTTTCAAGGGTTGCCAAACCAGCCCTTAATATTGTGCTCTTTTTTTTTGGAGAAAAATCTAAATGGTTGCTTCTAAATGCACTCTCCAATAATCTATATACACTCTATTTTTTTGTAATGTACTAACATTTTTTCATAAAAGTATTTCAATACATGTAGTGAGTGTAGAAATAATAATTTAATGGGTTTTTATAAACAGTTTAGATTCGGACCATTAATATACAACCTCTAAAAATAGCTCTAATTACGTGATAGTGGAAAAAAAAATAAAGGTCAAACTATCACATCAGTGATAAGATCCACATCCCGTTATGTTATTAGTAGTCTATTAGTGATCTTCAATTAGTAATGTGAAACATTTTTGTTTCTTAAAAGCACCTTTGTTTTTTTGACATTGGTTGGAACTTCGATTATATGGCTGCCTCTCTGTTCTTTGGCTGGAATCGTTTACCCAATTCCTACTTTATTGTTCAGAGTCTATAAAATGCCACTATAGGTGACGTGAACAAAAGATGTGGACCAACAAAACAACCCCCCCCCCCCCCCCCCCCCAAAAAAAAAAAAAAAAAGCTTATTGAGGACATGGATCTTTGTGGCATATGAGTCCATATTGAAGCTTAAAACCTTGCATAATCAGCGTAGTGTTTGGTAATGTTGCCAGTTTCTTATTTTTAGTTAAAAACATGCTTTTTATTATTTTAAAATAAGTAAATAACATGTTTGATATCTATATATATGTTTTTAATACATGTTAAAATAAAAATAAGAAAACACGTTTTGCAAATTATTAGAGAGGATGAAGTGGTTGGAGGGAGGAGGTGGCCGGAGGGGTGGGAAAAAGAGGAGAAAATGAAAACTTGTTTTGAAAACAAGTAAAAACGACTTCTTTTGATTTTCTCAAATTTTGAAAATTGTTGTCATTTTTTTCATAAATAAATTTAAACAGTTATTAGCTTATCAAGTAGTAATGAGCTAGCCTGAAATGGTCACATAAAATTTGTACCCACCTTTTACCACATAAGTAAATGGTTTTATTATGAAGTATTTACTTTTCCCTTTTTGGTATATTGAACAAACTGATTACTAACAAATCATTTTTTTTTTCTCTCTCTTTTCTTTTGAAGGTCAACCATGGCAATCTAGTGAAGCTAGAAGGGTTCTGCATAGACCCTGAAGATGGAAATTGCTATCTCGTTTACGAGTACGTTGAAAATGGATCTCTACACTCATGGCTACACGACAACAAGAAGGGAAAGTTGACTTGGAGAACAAGGTTAAGAATCGCCATTGATGTAGCCAATGGCCTCCAATACATCCATGAACACACAAGGCCGAGGGTGGTTCACAAGGACATCAAGAGTAGCAACATCCTGTTGGATGCAAACATGAGAGCCAAGGTTGCCAATTTTGGGCTAGCAAAGTCTGGCTGCAACGCCATAACAATGCACATTGTTGGAACTCAAGGCTACATTGCCCCTGAGTACCTTGCCGATGGGGTGGTTTCAACTAAAATGGATGTTTTCTCTTTCGGGGTGGTCTTGCTCGAGCTAATTTCAGGCAGGGAAGCCATGGATGGAGAAGGGAAGCTCTCGTGGAAAAGTGCTAGTGAAGTTTTGGATGGAAATGATGAAAAGAGGAAGGAGATGAGGTTGAAGGGTTGGATGGATGGTGTTCTTCTTGAAGAGACTTGCTCAATGGATAGTGTTAAGAATATGATGGCTATTGCCATTGCTTGTTTGCATAGAGACCCTACCAAGAGGCCTAGTATGGTTGACATTGTTTATGCATTGTGCAAGAGTGATGAGTTGTTCTTTGATGTTTCAGAGGATGGACAATCACTCCAAGAAGTAATAGCCAGATAGTTGGTGTCTTGGATCCCGTGGTGAGTGGATGCTAGGTTTGAATCTCATCGACCCTTAAAAGAAGTTAAGAGCAGATATGTTTTAGTTATGACAAGTAAGAGCGTGTTTGCCTATAATTATTAATGCCGGTATGGTTTGTAAATTATTAGACTATCCAAAACACTCAAATTATTAGACTATCCAAAACACTCAAATTTTGAGTTTTGAGTGATTATAAATAAATGCTTTAATATCTAAAGTTGCAATAAATATATTTGGAGCTACTGGTGGAGAAAAGCCATATGAAGAACAATTGTGAGATATGGCACTTCACATTAAAAATGACCTTGTACAAGGTGATAACTAATTTAATATGAATTTAATTGAAGATACTAACTATGAAGGGCCACTTTGGAATTTCAATGCGTTGAATTTGGACTCCAATTAACGACAAGTTTGAGACATCTCAACTAACCACTCAAAATTCAAAAGTTGAGTTTCCGTTTGATTTAATTTTAGAATTATGATTTGAATGTGAAGTTATATTTTGGGTTTTGAGTTTTTGAATTATGATTTGAAAAGAAAAAATTTGTTTGGTTATGAGTTTTGAAAATAATTTTAAGATGATTTGTAATTTTTTTTTTTTTAAATTGATTGATATATAGAATGTGAGAGAATGCGAGAGGAGAGAGGAGAAAAAAAATGATTGATTGATTGATTAATAATAAATAAATAAATAAATAATGAGAAGAGAAGAGAAGATAAGAGAGGAGTTTTAAAAGTAATTTTGAGTTATGTTTTAAAAATATGTTTGGTTAATATGTTATATCCAAATCATGATTTAAAAATATATATAAATTTTAAAAACAAAATCAAATGTTACCTTAGATTTTGCTAACGTAAAATCTTAAATTTTATTCTGAACCTTTATTGGTTAAGCAACTTGTTAAATATATGGGTTAAGTGCAGGCTAAAATTAAAAGTTGGAAAAGTTTGGGCTTCAACTACATAATTTTAATTTGAGTGGAGCTTGTACTTGGACCAACTTAGCCCAGTTAGCCTGGCCAGTACCTACCATTTGAGAAGATGACTGCTAGAAAACATGAAAAAGCAATACATCACTACAAGAATTTACACATTTTGTGACCACTTTTGTCGACCAAATAAATTTTGATTGCAAAAAAATGACATTTGGCGACCAAATATTAATTAGTCGCGAATGATCATTACTTTTGGCGACCAAATATTATTGGTCGCAGAAGGTTATATTTTGGCGACCAAAAAATGAGTTGGTCGCAGAAAGTGGTATGCTTTTGCCAACCAACTACAAATTTGGTCGCGGAAGGTCACATAGTTTTTGGCGACCAAAAATTTGGTCGCCAAAAACTTATTTTCAGCAATCAAAAAAAAATTAGTCGTCAAATTTGTACTTTTAGCGACTAATATTTTAATCGCCGTTGATTGAGATTTGGCGACTAAAAAAGTTTGTCGGCGAATGTACCTTTTCTGCGACTAATATAGTCTTTTGGTCGCCAAAAATTTGGAAGGGAAATTTGATTTTTATAGAGGCGGGAATTGAATTTTTTTTGCGACAAAAAAATTTGGTCGCCATTTTTAAAACGACGTCATTTTGTACAGGAAAATAGAAAAAAAAAATGAGAAAAAAAAGCCCTAATCTCTTATGTGTCTAGCCCCCTCTCTGTGTCCATGTTGGTCTGCCCTCTCCCTCTCTCTGTGTTCTCTCTCTCAATCGGTGCCCACTCTATGTAGCTCACCAAAGTCCCTCACCACCATTGCTCAAGTCCATCGCACATCGCCACCGCCGCAAATCGCCATTGCCCTCTGTCTAATGGACTCCTCATTTCTAGAAGATCCTCACCCAATCTCACCTCATCTCAGACCAACGTCGCACGCCACTGCTAGCGCCACCACCGCCGCCGCCGCCGCATCCTCACAGGTTCTCTTTCACTCTCGGTCTGTCTGTCTCTCTCTCTGTTTCTCGCTCTCTCCCTCTCTAGACTTTTAATTATTTGAGATTGCTTTCTCAATAACATTAATCTGAAGGGCAGATTTTGATTCTGAATCTTGCTCACCCCATGATTCCACATCAAATTGATCATCTTGTAACTCAACCTTTTGTTCCAATGGAGTTCTTAGCTCTACATTATGATGGATAGGTGAAGATACAGTGTCTTCTGTAATCTCAATAGCATTAATCTTCTGGGCAGATTTTGACTCTGAATCTTGGTCATGTTGATCTGAAGACAATGGGACTGTGTAACAACTCCGCCCAAAACATCCTAAAACTCAAACAAATGGAATTAAAGGACGACAACAAGATAGATACAATTACCAACTTCACGGAACCGAGTCCGGAATACAACAGAACAGTAAAGGACAACCGGGATCGCTATAGAGACCACCAATATGGGTAGGCCGACCTCCTTTGATGATTGACCCTTTTGACCCCTTGGTCTCCCTCACCTTTGAGCCATAATTTCTGGTCTCCCACCATACCACTAAGTTGCATTCACCTAGGAGGCCACCAATATGGGTAGGCCGACCACCTTTTCTTCTTGACCCTTTTGACCCCTGGTCGACCGACCAGGGGGAGTGGTCGTTTCATACACACTCTTTCAACTTCTCTCATACCTATTTAATTATTTTGAAAATAATAATTATTCCTTAATTTATGAATTTCAAATGAAAAGATAACAAAAATATTTGATAATATCTCTATTCTAATTTCTCTCTTCGATTTTCAAAAGAAAATATTAAAAAAATAAGTGTGATTATATATAGTTAAGTGTGATTATATATATATTTTTTAATTAAGTATAATTATATATATATTTTTTAATTTCACCTTCTAAGGCCTCGTTTGGAAACAGGCTAATTTAGTAACTTTTTGGCTATTTGGCTAAAAAAGTAGATAAAAAAAACTTATATGTTTGGGATGATTTTTTGGTTAATTACGAAAAGATGTGCAAAAAGTATAGAGAAAAGAGAATCTTTGACTTTTTGGTATGAGTTGTTGGCTTTTTGGCTAAAAAGATAACTTTTTGACTTTTTGACTAAAAAGGTAAGTCCCCAAACGAGGCCTAAATAAGTGTGATTATATATAATTTTTTTAATGACAACTTCTAAATAAGTGTGATCTATGTGATCAAAAAAATTTGGAGGAATATTTACCGCCTAATTTGATTTCATGTTTAATTTTATTATTTTTATTTATTTATTATTTCTTTGTACATGCACCGAAGGAAATACCCATCAACACTGTTTTCCCCTCTTTTTCACTCTCTTATTGTCTTGAACCCTAACCGTCAAATAGAAAGCAGTGAAGGTTGAGCGAAATCAGGGGGCAACGGTGAGCTAGCGGGGGCTACGACGATGACTGTACTTCACTCTCTCTCTCATTCTCACGACAGAGGTATGTCTTCTCTTCCTCTCTCTCTCCCTCTTGCTCTATTGTGCCGCCAACTACACTCCCTCGAACGGCAATGCCTCTTCGTGTCCCTCTTTCGCACAGTGAATCGTGAGCAGCGCTGATCATGACCCTCTCTTTGGTCGCTGCCCTCTACCCTTTGTCCTCTCTCTGTTGGTCGATTTTCAAGCTGTGGCCTTTTTATCTCAGATTCAAGTATGATTTTCTTGGCAGAAGGCACGGAAGGGTTTCTTCTTGCGAGTCTTTGATTCGTTGCAATCAGTGTACGTTTTGATCTCTGGTAAGGGTTTGAATGTCAGCTTGGATAGTGTTGTACTTTCTTCATCTCTTTGTTCGTGTCTGGTAAACTCTCTTTGAATATATATCTATACAGTATTATATAAGAGGGAGTTGATTATGCTATAGTGTTAGTGGCTCTCTGGGTTCTTCAATATGACACGACGAGAAAGTAGAATTTTAATGTTGCATCTAGTCCTTCAGTCTCTTTGTGGGTTCTTCATATGACACAACGGGGCCACGAAATATAGAGAAATTTCTAAAATTAGGGTTTCTCCCAAATTGGTAGAAATTCATTTGTTCCTTCCTAATTGAAAGGATTTTTTTTAGAGGAGAACAATTATTTGTCAATTAATTCCATTTCTTTTGCTTGTGATGACCAAATATATATCTTTAGGACTAGACTATTTATTCTTATGATGTTTGCTGAGAAACTCTTCACTTCATGCTCTTCTTGGGTTTTTTGACAATAAAATTGAATTGTTCCGTTGACTTAAAATGCATATGAATACACTTCATTCTAAGACATTCTCTCCTCATGCTTTGAACCTGGTGTCATTACAAAATATCTAACTCTCTTACCCCTATTTTACTATATACACAAGTCCAAAAAGGAGATAATATGAGATTCTACATTTCAATCACTTCCATGTTTTTCCTTGGAAACCAATTGAAACATGAGTATTTCATATTTTTTCTTAGTTCACAATTTTTATTTTTTATTTTTGGTTTGGGGGTCATAAATTGTTATGCTCTGTTGCAATTTTGTTTACTGATTTTGGGTCTATGATTTTTCTTAAAATAGACCTATTAAATCCAATATATTACTTTCAAAGATGTTCAATTATGTCCATTATGAATCAGATTTGTTCCAATTTTAAATTACTTTCAAAGATGTTCAATTATGTCCATTATGAATCAGATTTGTTCCAATTTTAAATTACTTTCAAAGATGTTCAATTATGTCCATTATGAATCAGATTTGTTCCAATTTTAAATTACTTTCAAAGATGTTCAATTATGTCCATTATGAATCAGATTTGTTCCAATTTTAAATTACTTTCAAAGATGTTCAATTATGTCCATTATGAATCAGATTTGTTCCAATTTAAAATTACTTTGTTCCAATTATGTCCACCATTCCCTAATTCATTATTTTTGGAATTAGGCCATGAATTGATACTTTTTTTTTTTCACTATTCTTTTTGTGTGGTATGAACAATTGTGTTTTAGATGGAATATCAAGGAAATGCGTATTTTAGCAACCTAATGAACGAGTTTGACGTTGACCATGATTTTACCACTGCATTATGCTGGTTTGAATTCTTGTCCATTCAAGTCCTGGTTTGAATTCTACTGGTTTACATTTATTGCTATTTATATTTTGCTCTTTAAACCACTCACTAAATCCTGGATTGAATTCTGCTGGTTTGAATTCTTGTCCATTCAAGTCCAGGTTTGAATTCTTATCCATTCAAGTCCTGTTTTTGCAGGTGTTCTGGTTGCACTCAAGAGTACAATCTCCACCATCCGATCATCCTCGACG